AACCCCTTACCATAATACCCGGAAAAGATTGTTCTTAACAATTATATACACTTAATGTCAGGTCCCGAGGGAAACAGTTAGTTTTGTTTTCGGGAGAGTCCTGATGTTTCCTGAGATGAATTAATTTCAAGGGAAACATCAAAATCAGACGGGAAGGATCGATAAATAACAAGACGGAATGGAACTCTATAACATTGCCGCAAGCGGCAATAGTAAAGTAATTGAATTGGATTGTAATTTTAAGCAGTTGCGCGCGCCTTCTTGCACGCGCTTGAGAGTGAGCGTACACTTTTGCTTGTTTGAATGTAACAACGTATTGTAACAGTTTTAGCCAAACTGAAGAGGTTTGAATAAACGAAACTTGTCTTAAGGCTAAAATAAAGACTAGTGNGGAAACATCAAAATCAGACGGGAAGGATCGATAAATAACAAGACGGAATGGAACTCTATAACATTGCCGCAAGCGGCAATAGTAAAGTAATTGAATTGGATTGTAATTTTAAGCAGTTGCGCGCGCCTTCTTGCACGCGCTTGAGAGTGAGCGTACACTTTTGCTTGTTTGAATGTAACAACGTATTGTAACAGTTTTAGCCAAACTGAAGAGGTTTGAATAAACGAAACTTGTCTTAAGGCTAAAATAAAGACTAGTGCGTGAAAGACTATTCGTAAAACTCCGTACAATAGTTATGAGGATTATGAAACATCAGGACTCGAGAGAAAACAAAACTAACTGGTTTCTCAAGGGAGCAGACATTAAGTGTTTTGTTGTATATCTAGACTATCACTTCCACAACAACAAAAGAATAACTGGAGCGACCCAAAACAGTCCACTTGGTGCTTAATTATAAACCACAAATCTAATTCTCAAAACAACTGAATAAATGATTTACAAAGTACTATCCTTATATTCCATCTTTTCCCACTACTAGCCACTGTTTCTCTTCTGGGATAACTTTAAAAATCGTTACTCTTTAGCTTCATGAGGCTTCGTGTTTGTGTTGTTGTGTTTATTCACGAAAAAGAAAACTGGCAGTGTTTTTCCTGCCATCAGTCATGCCACTTTTCACCATTCTTTGATCACGTACTGTTAAGTATCTTGAGTGGGGTACATTGCTTAACGTATTACGATCGCGATACATTTGATTTTAGTCAAGCCCACGAAACCAAGAATCAACCAATGGCAGTCCCTGTTTAGTTGAGTGAAAGTCTAGGAATATAACAACACATTTTGTCACCTGTATACATGAAATTTAAATTTGGTTGGTTGTTTTCTATAGATTGTGGCTTTAAATACCCAGCCCTGCTCCCCAAGTTTCACACCCCAGGCCTTCCATGTGCATGAACTTCCAGGTTGGTCAAGTTGGTCATAAGGTGGATTTTGTAAAGCATTATCAATTCCACATTTATTTTGCATATTAAAAGTCACAAATATTGTTCAACTTCTCTTTTTCTTCTTCTTTTAGTATTCATTAAGGAAAAAGACAAAAGACCTCAGATGCTCCACTTATTTAATATATTACAAAAGCTTCAGCCTTGAAAATTAATAACATGAAGTACCCCAGGACCTGAACAATCGATGAAAATAGATGATCCGAAAATCAATCGATCAATCGATGATAATCGATTAATTACTGCTGATTAATATCGGTTGGCATCGGCCAATCGATGATCAATCGATAATCACACTTAGGTGGTCGCGTTAATTTCATCGATTGCCATCGATTGGCACTAAATTCATGTCTCTATATCTTCAAGTATTGCAAGAGTATATGCAGATCGTATATTATTTTTAAACCTCAGTAGCAAAGTTTGAGAATTGCTAGCTGTTTCGTTGAAGCATAACAGTGGGGTTTGTTTTTCTAACTAAATTTAAATATAAATGTCTGATCTGCAAAGGGCAGTACAGCCCATCTTCAGCAGATATGTGCTATGCTCGTGCTATGTGCGCTAAAAAACAATGCAGTGAATTTGTGCTGGTGATATAAGAATAAAAAATATTCAAATGCTCAATGGGGCCTGGCCTGGGCCCTCAAGGCAAGCTTGAAGGCCTCTATGTTGGCAGCTTCAATAATTGTTTCGGGAAGTTCGTTCCATTCTTTAACGGATCTGGGAAACAAATTCTTAGTACGTTTCTAAGAATTTTAAACTCACGCAAAACGTGTGGGCCAATAAACAAGTTTACGCATTGCTACTCACTAGTTTTTACTCAAGTAAAAAGTAACGATATCAAAATGTGTAAGTTTATTAGTACTCGATGAAATTGACAATTGAAATGTTTTACTGAATAGGTAATCGATTGATATTGCATATTGATAACAATCTATTATGTTAATTGTTCGATTCCCATCGATTTATCGATTGACATTGATAATTGATGATAATCAATAATCACAAAAATTTCTGTGATCGATTGTCCATCGATTATCAATATCAATCCATTAATTGATATCAATTATCATTGATTGCTATCGATTGCCATCGATTATCGATTTCATCGATTGTTCAGGTCCTGCGTACCCATTGAAACCTATTGCTGGTTTGCACGTGATGTCACGGCGGCCATGTTGGTGGTCAAGAACAAAAGCATTTCTCTCCTCTGGGAACTAAACTCTATTTTCATGTAAATTCTTCGAGGAAATATTCTTTTGTTTTGACCCCTAACAAGGCCGCCTTGTCACGTGGTTTCAAACCAAGAATATAACTAATATTTATCTATACCTCGCCTTCTTCTACATCCAAAACATGAACACTGTGATCAAAACTGTCCACCCAGAGTAATTTCTGCGTTGCTGTATCCCAGTGTGGTCCTTCTCCAAGCTTGGCGCGCACATTTTTACCTAGGACGGAAATTTCCGGCACCGCCATGTTTCAAGTCATCTGACAATAAGTGGCCGACGAAACCTGGGTACAAACTGGAACGTTGACTCCGAAGGCCCAGGGGCCGGGACTAAAAGCGATCATTTTAAACTTTGATTACATGAATAAAGTAAATAAAACCAAAAACGAATTGAAAATATATATTTTTTTACAATTTCTCCGAGTGCAACCCCCCCCAAAAAAGAGACCTTTACGGCAAAATATAATGGTGTTTTGCCCAGAACACCCTAAGCGAGACCAAACTCTGAAATTTACACCCCTAAGCGAGACGACGAGCATCCCCGTTCCTTTTTTATGGGAGTCCCCCCCACTACAGGAGTGAAAGGTACATATAACTGTTTTATCTACCCAGAGTTGCAACGTCTTCCAAGCGTCTCACGGCTTTACCAACCTCACGCTCTGACGAGTTTACTTCTGAGTTCTCACGCCTTCTCAAAAAGTCACACGACAAAACATCGCAGCATCTGTCGCCCCCTCCACCCCCCCCCCCCCCCCACCCCACCCCACGCGCCCGCTCGCATTCACAGCGCACAACACGGATCACACGAAGAGAGGGATCACCGTCACCCCGCCCCGCTACTACCGCCACACCACCCCAAATTCCCCCCCTGGTCGCGCCAGAAGGTTCGTTTCCTATGAAAGTTACAGTTGCAGATCCAGGGGAGGAGCAGGCCCATCCCCCCCCCTCCCGCCTCCACTAATTTTTAAATCAAACTGAGGCCCGTCCAAGAGGGGGACGCGGGTTTTCTGAAAAGTGCGGTGTATCAAAACCTTACCTCCCCAGAAAAAATGATAATTACATATGAATATTGTACCCCCTCCTCTTGGAAAAAAAACAATTACCATTATTAAATGCACCCCCCCGTCCTCCACTCCTCCTAGACCAGGTCTCTTCCTCCATCCTTGGGGACTGATTTCATAAGCTATAAGATACCGGTAGTCAGCAGCGTAGCGTGACATGAGGAACCGCAAGGAGGTTTCTCTTCCCTGTCGCAGGGTGCCTCCGTTGCTGTGGACGCTTTACAGAAGGAGATAATGACAACATTTCCTACCGTGCATAGTATATAATTACTTTTCTCGCCTTTGTGATCCAATCAGAATTCACAAAGAAATATGATAAGTGCCTTTCCTTCTAGCCTCCCCGCAGACGTCCGTTGGGGTTCGTTTGTCACGCATTCATTTCTCCCCCACGGACCGGGAGGCTAATTTCCTTCAACGCTTTGGTGAGGGCATACAAAAGGAGAGGACGTGTTTTCCACGCGTTGCGAGACGGCCACCTCGAAGTCTGAGGACTCGCGCAAAAATGTAAACAGTTTCAGTTTATATCCCGTTTAAGCCACTTTGTTTTCATTTTCTCTAAGTCATGATCAGCGTGTTCTTTATTTGATATAAATGCAAGCTGTCACAACCAATGCGTTTTATACGAAATCCGAGGTGGCTCAGCCACTTTTATTTTATTTGCATTTGCATTTACTTTTTTCTATCGTCATTTACATTTTCTTGTGCGGTTTTTGGTTTGATTTTTATTTTCATTTGCATCTTAATTTTCCATTCAGTTTTCATTAGCATTTTCATTTGTGTTTGCATTTTTGTTTTACCTGCATTTGCATTTCAATCTGCGTTTCATGTTTATCAACACTTTCAGTTACGTTTCCGTTTTTGTTTGCATTTGCATTTTACTTTTAACTCTTACTTTTTTGTGACGTCAAAATCAAAACGGGGGGTCAAAACGCCATTATACGTCACGTCAAAATGAAAATGGAAAGCACAAATTCGTTATCATGGGTGGGAGATGATAGTGAAAAAGATGCCCAAGAGAGCAGGTCATATTTCTTCAGGTTATACTTCTTCGTATTTTATTTATGGGTAGGTACTATTTAAATTGTAAATTACTATTTCTTAACCTTACTGTACTACTAATGATTTGGCAGAATTATCATCAAACTTCAACTTACAGGTAAGTCTTGTTTAATTTTCAATTATACCAAATCATTATGTACATCCGGGTTACCATGAGACTTCATCGCATCGAGCGCAAAATGAGAAAGCACCCAAACAACTTCTCACTACGACTTTAATTGTACACTTCTTTGCAATACAATGTTGTTTTACAAGGCATTAACCTATGTGAGAACTGCCAAACTTATCTTGTTTGTTACAGCAACTGGCTTGTTGTAAAACTTCCGAAAAGTGGACTCCTCAGTCCAACCAGCTGTAGCTAGGATCACTTCAGAGGAAACTGACATAAGAGCTTTACTTGTTAAAGCACACCTAGTGCTATGACCAGAAAATATTTTTGTATCAACACCCGCTTGTCCCAACAAAGTTTTGATCCAGTGCCCAATAGTAGATGAGCTTACTGCCTTATGGGGCTTAATTTACGAAACAAGCAATTTTTAAGAGTTTCTAAGCTTTTCAGTAGCCCGCAGGTAATAATCTGATGTTTCATAAACACACAGTTCCCTTACTGGATTCTTGGAAAGACGTACATTGCCAAAAACTCTGCCAGGTTTGTCCTGCTTAAGTTGTTCAGTTAAGACAATTTTAAAGCATGTATCATTCTTCTGCATATGTTGCTCTGATGTGTCCAAAAAAGTCAAAAGTCAAAGTCTGACACCTCTGCCCCGTAGTCAAGGCAATCAACATAACTAATTTTAGGGTGAGTTCCTTCAAATTGATCTCGTGCTAAGGCCAAAATAAACTCAAGTAATCAAGGACAGTATCCACGGACCAGATATTGTTATACTTCGGCGCCAGCTTCAGCTTGTTGAACACCCCTTCAAGGTAACGGCAAACAAGGAAATGCTTTCCGACATGTGTATGATCTGGAGCATCACTATCATTCATATCAATATTAGAAACAGCAGACCGAGCTGTATTCAGCCCAGAATAGCTCAAACCAGTCGTGAGAAGACTGTACAGAAAAGATAGTCCAGCCGTTACAGTACTAGTGGGATACGATGCAATGGATCATGTGACCTTTCACTTCAAAATTGCAGCCACTTGTTGATATACACTTTATATTGTTTCTATGTGCTGTCTTTCTATGAATCCATGATGATGTCGACAATGTCTGGCGAAATCTCAGACTCTTGCAAAGACCGCCTGATAACTTGCATACCAACAACTGCAGTCGTTGGTGTAGGGGATGAGGACCGTCCAGAGTTGGATGAATCAGATTCTGAACTGAAGTATTTAATACACGTGAGGTTTCTGTTAGAAGGCTCAGTACAGCCGTAAAGTAAGGCTGAGTTGTCCACAAGGGAATTACTAGAATTCCTGATGCCTGGTCGTGAATTAATTTCTGTACACACCTTGAAACAAGACAAAATGGAGGATAAGCCTAGAAGACAAATTGTGACCAATCAATGGTAAAAGCATCTACAAACTTTGGCACTGGATGTGGTCTCCAGGAAACATAATCCTTTACCTGAGCATTAAGTCTACTAGCAAAAAGATCTATATATGGTTTGACAAATAAAGCTACTATTCTCTGAAAAATAGGAGCTGAAAGCATCCATTCCAGATCCAAATTCAAATTCCAAGATAACTGATCAGCATCAATATTGCTTGATCCTGGAATATGGGCTGCTGATAAAAACATATCTTTGTCAATAGCCCGATCCCAAATACCTTTAGCAATGGAGTTACATTCCAAAGATCTACAACCTCCCGTAGAATTAATGTAAGACACAGCAGTGTTGTTATCAGACATGCACATGGATGTTGTTCCTGCTAATAATTCCAGGTATTTCATGTGCCTGGATGACTCTGACTTAGACCAGATCCCACTAGTGTTATTCCCATGTTCGATTTGAGCACACCAACCCATTTGGGATGCATCAGTGTAAACAACTACATCAGGACTATTATGAAAAACTTTTCTTGATGCTGTTAGAATATTTGCAGACCACCAGTGAATCTCTTCCAAACTGTCATGAGACAAAGTCATAAATGAATCAAAGTTCCCCTGCTTCAATTTGTTTCTTTATCAACCTCAATGTGGCGATATTGTAAAGGGCCAAACTCCACGCCTGGAAAGCTGGAGACTAAGGTCCCAAGAAAAGATGCAACTTCACGGATAGTAAACCCGTTTATTCGGAAGAGAGAACTTTTGGCACAACTGCAAAAATTTTAACAGCTTTCTTGTTTGTCAAAGTAACTTAAATGAGAATAGAGTTCAAACTGAACCCTAAAAGCTCTTAGATCTGTGTTGGTATAATAACTGACTTTTCTGGATGGATTTTAAAATCCAGACTGACAAAAAGTTGTATCGCATGTAATGTGGCTTCTTCACATTCCGTATAACCATCTTCCAGACAGAAAGAGCCATCAATGTAGCCCAGACAGGTGTGTCCAAACTCTCTTATGTCCAGGATCAATCTTGTTAACAAAAATTTGCTAGCAAATTGTTTTCGCAATTTTAGCAAAAAAGATTTAAAGAAAACTGCTATCAGAAAAGCGTAGATGTCGTAAAAATCGCAAAAGTGAGAAGAATTTTTCTTGCTATGTGAAAAGATTGAGTAACAAATATGGGCAAAAATAGCAGGAATAACAAATTTTTTAAAATCCTACTTTTACAAAGAGAAAAGGCCAAGAAGGGCTTCGTGAAGTCCGCAAATTTCGCAAAAATTCCAAAAATAACAAGAATTTTCCTTGCTAAGTGAAAAGATTGAGTAACAAATGTAGCAAAAATAGCAAGAAAAACAAATTTAACAAAATACTACACTTAGAGAGAGAAAAGGTCAAGAAGGGCTTCGAGAAGTCCCCAAATTTTGAAAAAATCCAAAATTAACAAGAATTTTTCCTGCTATGTGAAAAGATTGAGCAACAAATATGGCAAAAAATAACAAGAATAATAAATTCCACAAAATTCTACATTTAGAAAGAGAAAAGGTCAAGGAGAAGGGCTTCGAGATGTCCGCAAATTTCGCAAAAATCGCAAAAGTAACAAGAATTTTTCTTCCTATGTGAAGAGATTGAGCAACAAATATGGCAAAAATAGCAAGAACAACAAATTTCACAAAATTCTACCCGTGGAGAGGGAAAAGGTCAAGAAGGCCTTCACTAAGTCCGCAAAATTCGCAAAAATCGCAGAAGTAACAAGAATTTCCTACAGAAGTAGTGGAGAGAAGTTGATAAGTTACAAACGTGACACTATTCATAATTACTGACCATGGCAAAATACGGTAATATCAATCTGTGTATGCTTCGTTCTTCTATCAACATACAGCTACAATGCATTAAAGGAGTGTCGCTCACAGAAGGGGGCAAATTTTAACCAATAAAAGGAGATGGTAGCAGAACTTTTACATCAGTTACAAACATGAAACTATTTATAATTTATGACAGTAGCAAAATACTGTAATATCAAAACCAAATTATATTGGAGTTTGCTTATTTTCGGACTATACAGTAATTATCTGCAAAGCGTTTGTTTCAATCACCTTTAATTGTTGTCAATCTTATAAAAAATAATTAACTCATAACCGAACGTAACGTTGAGTTCTTACAATTATGAAAATAACTTTTCGGGAGTCAAACCCATAAAATTTACTACTTCCTCGTAAAAGTAACAAAAAAACGCCCAAAACAACAAGGGGTCCTTGGGAAACTTTTATTCATTGATATCAATATTGTGCGTAAATAGTCTAGCTCCAAAAACATTAGCTACAACAAAATGATAACACGCAAATGTGCTGAGTATTTCATTCTTGTTAGTCCTTAGTCATACTTTCTGGCAAGTTTAAAAATTCAAGGTTTGTTTAATGATACAAATTCAGGGCTCGGAACGATTGTATCTAATCATTGATTAGATACAATTGACAAGCACTTAATCATCTTCAGCGTCATATAATCTTGCAAAACTTTCATACACTTCCTGCTGTCCTGCATGTCGTGTGTGTTCGAATCGCGAAATAAAAACACAGTAGAAAATAAGTAGTAGATAATTATGAATACTAAATGTTGCTCTGTCATCCGTGTACTCTGTTTAATTATATTGTATGTCATTGACTCTTTTTTAAGATCATTTTCCGAGTACTCAGTTTATTATCTGTATAACAATGGAACCTCCTCTATTCACAGAACATACCCTTGGGACCGAGACAATAAACCCTTCACCTCCACACCTGCCAGCTCTATTGACAAATCAGTAGCCCACATAAAACAAAAAAAAAATCATTTAAATCATACCTTAGCGGTCACGCGCTCTATTTCATTTCAAACAATACCGGCGTATAAACAAGCATATAAGCATACAACCATATTGGGACAGCGCATTTAACCTTTTGGCTGCCTACTGTAGTGGAAGGAATTGGCTGTGACGATGGCGACCAACAATGCATATGTTAACGGAAGATTGAATGTTAAAGAACAAACTCAAAAATGCTGGGTGGCAGATTTGGATTGGAGTCTCTTACCCGAAAACGTAGGAAATATAAGGAATGCAACAACACATGCAGTAACAAGAATTTCTAGAAATTTGCCTTGCCATGACAAGCAATTGCAAGTGGCTTTCCAATAGACGACCGCATGGTCAGAGCATGCATATATGCACAGTTGGAGATGGAATATTTTAGCTTATGCATGTTTCAAACTAATCATACCTATAGTTAATGTGATCAAACACTTTTGTTATACATTCATAGTTCCTGTTAAAAATTGCGCAAACACAAAACGTTTGCCACCTTATATTTTAAATTGAGTCGGTAATTAGTAATAAAAAATTACCATAAAATTCAAATACTTGGTCATTGCTCTATCACAAATCTCCATGAGAAGATTTTATTGAACCCGGAGTAAATGAGTGTACTCGCCCCTGCTGTTAATTATACACCCACAGTATAGACCTTACTATCGGTGTTTGAAACGACAACGCTAACCCTAATCCACCGTTCTCCTTCCTCCTCTCCCAGCAAAGCCCTTCGACAGATTCTGCTATTGAATTTCACTAAATGTAGCCGGTAGCCCTTGTCTACAATTCAGTTTATTTTGTTTTTCTTGCTATTTCTGCGATATTTGTCATGGGTGTTTTTAGTTAGCTACTTTTGCGATTTTTGCGGACATTTCAAGGCCCTTCTTGGCTTCTTCTTTTTCTCTTGATTCTTGTTAGATTTGTTATTTTTGCGATTTTTGCGATATTTGTCATGAGTGTTTTTAGCTAGCATGAAAAATCCTTGTTGCTTTTGCGGTTTTTGCGATATTTGAGGCCATTTCGGGGTCCTTCTTGGCTTCTTTTGTTTGTAATTCTTGATTCTCGTTAGATTTGTTATTTTTGCGATTTTTGCGATATTTTTCACGGGTGTTTGCAGCTACCAAGAAAAATCCTTGTTACTTTGGCGATTTTTGCGATATTTGCGGACATTTCGGGGTCCTTCTTGGCTTCCTTTGTTTGTAATTCTTGATTCCTGTTAGATTTGTTACTTTGGCGATTTTTGCGATATTTGTAAGTGATTTTCTGACATAATTTTTTCTCAATTATTTTTTTTTGCGACAATTGCGAAAAAAAAATTGCTAGCAAATTTTTGCTAACAAGATCGATCCTGGACATATCCGACCCAATTGACCAAAGTGTTTATACCGAAATCCGGAAACTTTTTTGTTTGTGGAATCTGGGATCCCGGGCTTTGGAATCCCGAATAACGGTTGAATCTCAGAATAACGATTGAGTCTGGTATCCAAGTTCCAATGACAGAGAACCCGCAATCCAGGACCTAGAATCCGGAATTCACGGCGTGGAATCAAGAATCCAAGACTTTACTTTACTTTATTGAATTCGCCACGGTTACTCACCACGGTGACGGGATGAAACAGGACTTCCGTCTAGATTGATATCAACCCCTTCATTACCCACCCAGCCCATGAAAGGTTGTACCACACCACTTGGGTCTACGCCCCCTACTCTTTACGAACAGCAGTATGGGTTCTTTTAAGTCCCACAAGAATCAGAACAATGAAAGAGCTGTGAGACGGGCCTACGGTTTTTCGTCCTTATCCGAGAAGAGTAGAATGTCTAACTATTTGTAGATGTCACAACAAAGGCAGCACATTCTGCTCAACTGTTGGTCCGGCCGGCGTTTGAACCCGCGAGCTCCCGCTCGCAGACCGCTCTTGGATTCCCTTACATGGGGCGACGGGACAAGTTTTCTCCATATAAACGGGATCCTTTATAGTCTGTGCAATTTGTATCAAAAACGTACTTTTTCCTTCTTCCCTTTTAGGTGTGCTTTTCCATTTATGGTGACCATTTCGGTTCGACGTGCGGCTGTCGTTGTTGTTGCTGTTTTGGTTTCAGAAACAATGGAATTTATTGGATAAATACTTAGGCCTTGATTCCACTTGCATCCGTATTTTTTGTCTGAAGAGGGAAAAAATCTTGCCCTCAAGAATTGTTTTTTAGTTGTTTTTGCTTGCCCACACGTATCCCTTTCTCTTTCAGAACCAACATTTAATTATAGGGATTAGTCCCTCTTTGATCAACGAAGGTGTCTCACACCAAGCACTTTTATGTAACTTCCGAGGACTTGCTTGTGGACCTCCAGTGCCCCGTTTCACGCCTCATTTTTCGAGACCAGCGGGAAGAAAAGAAAACCTAAGTCGTATTCTGAAATAAGATCACACGTTTTACCCAAAAGAAAATGTGAACTTAAGATATTTTTTTATATGCCGAAAGGCAGGGTGGTAGAGAAATATTCAAGGTTAATATACTGTGACATCATCGTCTAAATAAAGACTAGGGCTTTTGACGGTTTTTATCGGATGTTCGTTGACGGGAGGCCAATATGCAATTTTTTTCTTTTGCGTTTTGAAAGAACAAGTTCGAGTGGACGGGGCCTTTAATGAATTGCCATAGAGCTACTCTTGTTGATAAAAGTCTCTATAAATCTCTTTGTTTTAGTTTTGTGTGGGTCGCAAATCTTCTTTCTTTTTAAATTATAAGTAGGCCTGCTGCACTTTTTTTGGTAATAAACCGTGAATCTTATTGGATGGGTTGTTAACAACTGATTAGAAAAGCTGATTGGTTATTTGTTCGTGATGGGCTCTCATGCAGTCGACACCAGCGAGACTTAAAGCGTCCTTGTAAGAAACTCCAGGGAAGATACACGAGAGGGCTCTCTTTTGGACAACCTTAAGTTCGACTAGCAGTTACTTGGATAACGCATAGTGGAAAAGTGAGCATGCATAAACTAAGTATGATCTAATTCACGCGCAGTAGTACGCCACGAGATCGTCAGAAGGAACCTGCGAACGTTTCAGTAGAACAAGAAAGTTGTGTTTTCGGGATGCTTTCTTTACGAGTTCCTCAATGTGGTCGTTCGAGGTTAAGTTAGCATTGATCATAACTCCAAGTAGCTTTGCGTACTGAACTGAACCAGTATAATTTCCGTCAATACAATTTTGACAAGTCATGTATTAGGTCCACTAGGTCTTGAGCCTTGTTCTGTTGTCCTTTGTGTAATTATTATCTTGTTGTACCTAGAGCATTCAGTGCACGTGTTACTGTGAAGGAATTAAAATCTTTATTTTTCCTTTGGCAAGTTAGACTTTTGTCACTATGTCGAGCACTTCAACTTGTCCCCATCGCTTATAGCATATCTAATTAATTGTAATAACTGCAGATCAGAGGAGCACGTCAGATGGGAATTAGAGGGATAGCGGCTGGAGTTAGAAGGACTGGTTCACGATAATGCGCATGCGCGCCATTTGTCTCTTCAGAATAAATTTGTCGGGTCAACACTAAATTCGAAATCGCCATTACCGGTACAATCATTGAAAATCCTTTGTTTTATTCGGACATCCGTCGCTTTGGCTGGTCTAATTATACTTCGGTATTAGTGATTAACGTGTGGTTGTGTCGTTTGACTGGTTACGTTTTAAGAAGACGCAAAAAATAATGTTTTGATCATGGAGGTTCAGAAGAGCATCGTGGCCGTCCGGCAACAGGACGTTCTCAAGAGTCTCTGGAGATAGAGAAGCTTAGCCTATCGATCTGGTATGGTTCTAGGAGTAGTGTGTGGCTTACAAAAAGAATACACGACACTTGGAAAGTGGTTAAAGGCATGAGTTCGTTCAACTTTGATTTGATTTTTGACTCCGACCTGTAGTTATATACCGCAACAGGCCGCGCGATCTTCACCGATCTGGTACACTTGAAATGTTCGTTGTATCTTTGCTTTATGATCGTATATGTTTAAGAATTGATGTTTTTAAAATAAATTATTGCCTGAATATTCTGTTTATAATCTAGTTTCTTAGTGTGCTACTCTATAACATTTGTTTTGCGGAACACTGACCCGATGCAACGCGAATGAATTTGTTCATTTGCTGATAAGCAATTGAAATTTGTGCTCAATTAAGGATAATCTTTATACTCATACGTTGTGTGTTTTTGTCACCGGTCAGGCGCTATTTGTAGGTATTTCTGGGTTTATATAAGGCGAACTGAGAGAACAGTAATAAGATGTACAAATTTTGTTTGCCGATCGGTGAGTGTTTTGTTAGCGTGGGTACGACCTCGTAAAAATACACGTTGGTAAATGTTTGTTTCAAAGCAGGACAGGGCTGTAAATCTTATTCTTATCGGCTGCAACATATATCTGAGGAGTAGCAAAGAATAAACTTGAATTATGGGGATAAATAAAATCAAGCCAAATGCCCGGAAATACTCTCGCGTCGCGAACAATTAATTTGAATTTTGTAAATCCACTTGCGTGCATCTAACTCGCTTCCGATTGGTTGAAAAACAATCAGCTACTGTCAGAACTCACACATGCGCATTATCGTAAACCAGTCCCTTTAAGTAATTAGCTCGGCAGATAGACATTATCTCTATCTCCATAATTAATCAATATATTACCTTGGGTGCCAGCTCTTCAGCACTTCGCCCTTTACGCTTCTGGTGGTGAGACAAGAAGACCTCTGGTATCCAGGGTATCAATATACAGCTATTTCGAGATAGATTGTCGGAAAAAGTGCACGCGACAATCCCGAAAGGTATTGTGGGTGGTTTTGAGCTCACCGTTTTTCAAAGAAATTTGAGAGAATGGGACGAGAGGCCATGGACATAATTATGTCTGCGAGTGCTAAAGGAAAGTAACAAAAGTAGGTTCGACAGCTACAGTGTCAGGAACAGTGAATTGATCGTATCCCATATTACCTTTTGGGATTGTCGCGTGCACATTTTTTCCGACAACCTGTCTCGAAGTAGCTGTCTACGTTTAATGATAAACAAATACCGACTCGGGGTTGATTTCCAATTTTTACGTGCGCACGTCCGTAAAATTTACGTTCGCAAATAAAATAGAGGCAATGTATGAACAGTCGCTTGTGAGCGTAAAAGTTGAACTTCGCTCAACTTCACGTTTAATCTCATCACTTTAGATCTTGTCTCTATTTTATTTTCGTGATTAAAATTTATGTGCGTTAACGTGCGTAGTCAAAAACGTGTCAGTGCATCTGGAAATCAATCTTCAGAGCAAAGACAGCGCGTCCCCAGGCGCTTCGTTTTTCGCACAGAGGCGAGCGTGAAACGCTAGTGACTGGTGTCGAAGCGCAAGGGACCTAGGAAAGAAGAAAAATAAGAGGCAAAGCATGACGTCTCGCCCGTTTTCTCCTTCCCTCCTTCCTCTGCAAGCATCGCTAGAGAGAGACGTCTGGGTGCGAGCCAAGAGCAAAGATTTTGCGGAACGAAATATTGGGACGTTATAACCAGGTTAGTCGACTCGATTGAACAATTCTAAAGCGTTGTATTCTCTGTTTGCAACCACGTGACAATG